AACATCAATATATCCAAACAAAGATACCTGTCCTTCTCATCCAAACAAGTCCACAATAACCTTTAGATACCTAACAAGGAAATAAATCAATCGACCAAAAAATATCATCCAAGTATTAAGGGGTTATTTTGAGCAAAGATCTCAACTCGAAGGATCATGTTAATCATGTGACTAGCAAGGCAAGTCGCTTATTTATTTATTTATTTATTTATTTGTTTGTTTGTTTATATTACCCTGAGGGCTAACCACATTAAGCTTCATACGACAAAATTTACATCTTGCACCTCCTAAGCTGCTTACACCTCATATCTTACATGTTTGGTTGCAATCAACTATTCGTGCATCAAATGAAACGCTTCACAAATTTACTTAATGAATGAAATAGACTCAATGCAAAGGCGGGCGGCTGCACTTATTTTTAAAGATTACTCTCGAGGCACAAGTGTCTCGAGGGTGAAAGAAAAAGTCGAGTTACCCCTACATTCTATGACAAGACATGTTTTGTGACTAACCTTCGTCCATTGCATTTACTACCTTCTAACTGGGCTTTGCGTGCATAAAGGAGCGGCTGTTGGAAAATGCCGAAATTTCGCGCTTGGGCAGTGGGCATGTTAAGAATAATTTATTTTGCCCTAATGGCTCACGTACACAGCCAGGGACGTTTTGAGGAAACAAGATTCTGATTCTCATAAGGCTATTTTCGAAAGTTTGTTTTAGACACCGAATTGCCAGAGTTTTCGTATTAACGAATTAGACGTAAGAAGACCCTTGTATATTACATATGATATTTCACGTACTATCAGCTTTACTTCATTCAATAGACTACTTCCATAAAGCCCTGCATGCAACGCGGCACGCGTTGCACTCTGGGAACTAGTTGGCCAGGGAGGAGAGCGGCATGATTTCGGTTTCGATCGGCACGTCGACTAGAGGTGACACTCAGAGCGTGGACTATTAACGGTCGTTATCTCATGCTTTCTGGTCCCCAGAACGTCATTTGTGGTCTCTAAACTAACCTAAATGGCCAGACCTCGAAGCTTTAGCACAAGCCCGAGACGTATAGCTTGTCTTAATGCATGCTTGTTGTATTTTTGTACTTGAGCCTTTCTATTAGCGTTTCGAGGTATGTGGACGAGCCAGTGCTGGGAATTTCGGCGCTGCGAAGCTCGGGGATCCTGCTTGTGTGCGAATAAGCAAGCTGTAGCAACCAATAAGTATACATACATCGAGCTCGCGCCTTTACATTAGTATTGTTGATCAGGAAGTTTGTTTCGTGCGTTTTTCTTATTACGCCTGAGTACGCGAGCTAAAGCTCGGAGGCGCCATTGAAAAGCTCCATTTGAACACACTTCTCATCTCTCATGTGTACTGCCCCACTGCACTGCACGAAGGGAAGTTTCCACCCGCTTGCATTCCACTAATGTATGCGCATAAAGGTAGCCTGCAAAACATAGGCACCATGCGTACATACAAACCGTTTTAAGAAAGCAAAAGTATAGCACTTGTGTGAAGATGTCGCACCGTTCGCCGGAAGTGGCGCCGGACGGGCATGAACCGCTATAGGTGCGTCAAACGAACGAAATTATTCAAAGCGAACTTGACGGTTGCTAATGGCTATAATATTTGTTATGTGTTTGCTTTCTTCCTGACTGAGTATGCCGAGGTAATTTCAGACACAACGTTCAGGCACAGATCTTGGGCGTCAGGAAAAGCTCGTCCAAAAAGGCCTACCGAGGAGAAGGGGACGCTTGTTAGGGCCTCCATCGTAGCAAGCCGATCTGAGTGTTTGCGAAAACTTAATCTTCTATCAGCATAAAATTTGAGTGTGAGACATTTGATGACAGAAGGAAGACATCACAGTAACTTTTATGCAGTAGTGAGTTCGTATTTATTGCGTTTCCTTCAAAGTTCATGCTCCAACGCTGGGCTCAACTTTGATAATCCTGTGGAGATGCGGCTTGCTTTTCGCCCAACGAAGTAACAAGGAGCCGACGTTTGGCAAACAAAACACGTGTAGGGCTCAAGGTGACCGAAGTTACGTTGCGGTTCACTGGTACTAGACGGGATTACTGACATTGAGCTCAAAGATGCACTCGTGGGGTGAGGTGACTAAGCCACGTCTTACCACGTTTGCATACGCACGCACAATATCCGGTGTTTCGGGAACCAAGGGAAGTGCCCCGGTCTTCGTTTTCTATCGCTCGAGAATGAGTCTATTGTACACTCGTAAAAAGTCAGATAATCGAAAACGCAATCAGCGCGTTCGGTCGCGGCGTGATAGCATGAGATGAACCTGGTCGCTCGAAACCGAAACTGAGTGGCCAACTAGTTCCCAGAGTGCACTGCGTGGTATTTCGCCGCGATGGGGCGCGTCGGTTTTGGAAGAAGTCTGTTGTGTGTTAATGGATGCCGACTAATACTGTCACAAGAAATATGTTAGTATAAAAAAGAAAAAAAGATGAAACTACCCAGCTTTGCACCTTGGAGTAAAGTTTAAAATATATCGTCTCTTCCAACGTACCGCTTTTAGATGACAAAACATTAAATAAAACTTGATCTTTATTGCATATTATAGAATGCACGAAAAGGTCTTCGTACGAAGAAAAGGAAACAAAAACATGATGTTAAAATTTGTACTTTTAAAGTTTCCTCTCGCATTCAAATTTTTTTCATTGAGGTATAGTGTACTTCTTGAGTTGGTATATGTAAGCTTTAATTCGATTTTAGGATTTATAAATGTGTTGCTAAACAGCCATGAAAGCTACACAAATGCGGTTTGTGAAGGTGATTTATATGGCCTGGGGTACATAATATATTAGGGTAATCGTCAAAGTAAGACAAATAATTAACTAAGATTTGTAAGCAAGCTTTTTATTTAGTGAGAATAAACGTAAGTTTTATAAGAAACTTGCTGAGGGTCATTGACAACCACTTGACCAGTGAATTTTAGAAATACTTTAATCCGGTGAGAAATGCGATAGTGCGCTTAAGTGACCATTTGTGCGTTACAGGAGGAAGTCTATGTGCTCTAAACTCGCCAAACACAAAGTTGGGGCGGACGTTAACGGAGCGCGCCGATTGCACTATTCCGACGATGATTTCGCGTTTTTTTCGCCGGCAGCCAATCAGCGCAGTCCGGGAACTTTCGGTTCCAACTTTGTGTCTGACGGGTTTAGGGCCCTAGGGATGCAAAAACGCGTATGATAAAATACGGAAAAACCTCGCGGGCACGTTTTCGATCTCCAGCATTGTGCCATTTGCTTAAGTGGTAACTTTTGTGTACTTTCGTGCTTTTCATGCGCTACTGATAGAGTTTCAATGGTACTCATGAAGGTTAAAATTGAAACCATATACTTATCTTCACTAATTAGAAATGTAGCAAAAAATTCTACGTAACTATTCTAGTTATAATGATGACTTACATCCTATATTGTCTCCTGGCCGTATAACTCATTTGCACAAACTGCATTCCTGTGCAATACACGGCTTTATATAAAACTCTCTGTAAAGCTTAAAAACATTGTATACTTTGCCATGGCATTGAAGTAACAAAAGTTGTCATAATTCAAGGCAGGTTAGTTATAGTCAGAGCGGCTAGGTTCTAAATTTTTAACGCAACTATTAAAAAAAGAGAAACAGATGCCAATTTTTATGTCCACTTGGCACTTCTATAGTAGTTGTAAAAACCATGTACAATTTTTCTTGTTGAGTGAAAAATAGCTCAGTCTGGCGAAGTACTGCGTGAACTGTGACCGTCGGCGAAATCTGAAAATCCGCCTTTGGTTCCTTCGTAGTAGAAACGAAACAAAACAATATATTAAAACGTGCACCAAGGACGCTCTTTTCAATTTCTGCCAGCAAATCTATCTTTCTTAAATATTTTTTTGAATCATGCCTTTTTTCTTGCATGATTTGAAATGAGTTCACCCGCTATTATACCTTTTTTCATGGCTCAATTAATATTGTATTGTTCAGGTAGCGTTGTAGGGACGTCTTTAGCGAATTCAGAAGTAAAACAAATCGTGAAATGTCAGCTCTTTGGTGAACAATATATGATAGCAGGACACCTTGAAGGCCCTGGTTATCACTGCTTCCTGGTCGGAACCAAACCTCACGTGATAGAAAATTGAATATTTAAAAAAGGGTTTGACTCCTCTCCTGAAAGCAGACATTTGTATGCTTGTTTTTTCTAAAAGTGTTGTTGAGCTGTATTGGTTATTAGTCATGCATTTTTAATTTAAATATTATTTACACATTTGTTGAATATTACGACATGTGCGGTATGAAATATTAATGGCAAGATTTATGCAATGATTTTCAGGTGAAAAGAATTAAGGTGTCTTGCCAAGCGTTTTTTTTTTAAGAAACAGAGAAGAGAAAAAAACTTATTCTAGCCCGAAGACGTCTGAAAAGATCACCATATGGGGAGACTGTGGAAAGCAAGAAATAGCTCATGGGACACCAAAATATTGTGAGCGAGTCTCGAACCTCCGCAATGTTGTAGGGTGGATTATCGGAATACTTATCCCATATATACCAGAAACGTAAGAGGAAGCATTAGTTAGAGTAGAAATACGTTCCAGTAGAAATTATTTGGCTTGTGGGTACCACTGCTCTTCGCAAGAGAGAAGGCATAAAGGTATACATTTATAGGTTTCATACATTTGAAATTTAGCCCACACAAACTGGTATTTATTCTGTATTGGTCATCGATACTACTACTTATGCAGTATAGTGTTAGGTGTCGCAAACCTAGTAAATGTACCTAGTCGGAAAGAAGGGTTTTGCTATATCGATTTGTGCCACAGAAATGTTATGTTACCATACTCTATTTCACCAATGGATTTGTGTCTTCTTTTTCGATGAACCTTTCTTTTATCTCTTAGCTTCCATGTGTTTCTTTTACTATACCCACATTATTGCCAATGTCTCATTTAGCGAATATATGGAGGACAACACTAAAACATAAGGGTTATATTCTATAACAAAAAGTTTCTTACCATCTAGTCCCGTGCTCACGATGCTGTCCTTAATAGTCGCCATCTTTTTGCTATATGAGGAATTAAACATTAGTAATATGTTATTCAACTACACTTTACTCGTATACTGTATCCTGCTTACGCGATTGTCGAGATAAAACTATGAAAGATTTAGTTTATTTTTAAACCGCATGATTATTTCATACGCAATAAGAGATCTGTTAACACTTCTTGACTCAAAATGTGCAGATAGAAACCTTTTTAAGGTGTTTGATAGTTTTGATTACAGTGAGCTGTACACAGTGAAAGGTGGAATATAAAGAGATTTTAGAGTAAAATGTTTGAAGATTTAACACCTCAGCAGGAAGCATATTGCCGATAACTTTAGCGGGGAAATGGAATTAGTGTATAATTATAAACAATAACAGATTTTCCCAATACGTTTAGCAGAAAAATTGCGTGCTGCACTTTTGCATTACACCTTATTTGAGCTTTTTTTGAGAAATCATAAGAATAAACACATTTTGTTTAAAAACTCTTCATCCAGTTAAAAACATGCCCCTTGACCCGTACCCGGTAGGGTCAAAACCAGGGGACCAGAGGATTGCGGAATACACAGGGCACGTTTAATTCAAATTATTTACCTCAAAGGCGTCTTTTGGGGACGCATTAATTGAGGGGCTGGGCAAAAGCACAAGATCCAATAAAAATAACATATAAACATAATATCTCTGGTCACAGCGGCACAAAAAAAACCGTTATGCTAAAACAGATTACGCGATATTTAGTTCTCAACTGGACATAAAAAATAACAAGGAAGACTACAAAGGGATTCACAAGCCATTCAAAATACACAAGTTCGCACAATTTCTTAAAATCTTAAGGATTTATGTTGATTGCAATTTTATCGGGCCGATTACTGCATTCTGAAATACGCAGTAATACAGGCAAATATAAGAAAGAATTGTTATGGGATTGGGTTTTCTGAAGCTTACACCAGTTATCTGTTCTGAAGGAAATATAATGGGAAGCATGACAGTAAGTATTTCTGAAGTGTGATGGTACCGTAGTACATTTTATGAAATAAACACATGCGGTTAATTCTACCTTCGTCTGGAGGCTAATGAAGTGAGATCAATGCTAGTTGTTTTAAGGCAGAGATACAACCTAAAGGCAAAAAATCGTTTTTGAGCTACCCAAACAAATGGCTCTTCCTGAATACCATGACTTTATTCTTCACGGTATGCATTTATCAGAGAGTTTTAGGGAACCGTTTTTGCACATCCGATACGGTACGATGGGCCCTCCGGTACGAACAGCGCATGCGCCTGCCTTCTGCGATCTTACCGTTATGCGCTGGTGGAACCGTAAGGCACGATCGGCACGACCAATGGCCGACATGGACAGTCGCGAATGGTTAGCAAAGCGGCGATTTCGCTGACGGAGAGAGCGTGCCGTGGCTCCAAACGTGAAGAAAATAAATCGTGGCAGTGCCTGACAGGAGCGTCATGTGTGACAGTAAGTCCATAAAGTTTGAGTCAGCAAATAAGAAAAAGAATAGAGAACAAAACGCAATAGAGCTTTTTCAATAGAAATAAATTGGTGTTTAGCGTAGCCAGGAATCGTCTGCTCGGTATCTCAGTGGATTAGAGCGTCGATTTCTTGGGCTCGTAGAGGACCGGTAGTGGAGAGTTCGAATCCCGCTGGCGCAAATACTTTTCCTTTTTTTTTTCATATTATAAGTTTTTTTTTTTTGTTCTTTTTATACAAACATTGGATGTGCATTTTGAGCCCTTGTCACCCGTTTTTTACAGCTGCTGTTATGACTGAGGATTATCTGTAGTGGCAACAGAGTGAGCAACAGCCTTCTGCACCAAGGCTCCGGATACTTTTTAGTTTAAAAATGTTGCATGAATTAAAATTTCTGTACAAATGCTAATCACATATATCCTATAAAAAGAGCCCTTTGAATATTGGGTGATAGTTTTAATAAGTGTACAGCAGTAAAGTTACAGGTTTTCCTTTATATGTTCTTCGTGGTCGTACCGTACACGGCGCAACGGTCGGTACGAGGGCGTACGACCGTGATCGTCTGCTATCTGTACCGTAAGAGAGCAACATGAGCGTTACATCTACCACCGTCCCTCCGCCTCCTCCTCGCAAGCAGTTTACAGCAGTAAACAACATCTTTCTACTTCGGGAGGTGCTAGGCGCTACTCCTTTTTCGCTCTAGCACTTTGGAATGACGCAGAGTTGAAAAAGAACTTCTCGTTGCGAGGAGCGAAGGAACGGATTGACCTCCTCATAAATAAAAATAGAGATTTGAGACGTACTGAAAGATACGTCATTCAAAAATATACACACTGTATGGAAAGAAAAACAGAAATGATTACATTCCTTCCTTATTTACCGAACTCCCAGAGTCCCTTATGAATATAGAATCCACTAGGGTACTAAAGAGGAAACTAAGGAGTTGGTGTCAAGCATCTGAGCTGTAGATATCGTAGCCTAACCGTTGGAGATGTTTCGTACTTTTATTTCATGGCTGCGTTAGTAGACTTGGCTATAAACACCTATATTTCATGCTCTAAAGTGTTCCTTTTTGTATTTATTTGTGCTGCTAATTTTGTGCTCCTTTCTTTTTTTTTTTTTGTGCTGCGGAGTGTTTTCTTTTTTTTTGTGTGTGTAACCACATGTATTCTAGTTGGTCGCCTGGCCCCAGATACAAGCAGAATGTGGCGTTTGTGGGCCAGCTTTTTATTTTGTATGAATTGCTCTGAAAATAAAAATTGAGTTAAATGGAAAATTTATAAGTATATTGAATTGAATTAACTTTGTACAAGAAAAATGACCGTATCAACCTGAGAAAGTGTGTATATTTTGGTTATTTTTGTATTTTCTTCGAGATTTAATATTTCCAGTTTTATTTGTCCATATCTTTCTTAACACTCGATCCTGCATTGGGCCTCGAGGGAACGAGACAGTATTGCTAGCAGACGACTTCGAAGGTTGATGATAAGCGCGCGCGAGCGTGTTCTTGTGCCAAATCGAGTTTGCTTTCGGCAACGTTTCAGCATATCAGGACGTGGTTGGTGTAAACATCATATTTGGTTGATGTAAAACACCAAAGCGTGCCCGCTGAGAACGCATGACTTATTAGAAAGCAAGCTACCATGTACGGTCGGGGAATTATTTTATTCGCCAAGTATATAAATCTGGTGAACTGAAAGAAAACAAACCCAAAATACGCTGGCACATCATTCGTAGTATTCGCACATCATTCCTGGTATCACAACTTTTTTGTTTACTCAAAAGCTACGCCAAGTTGAACGTCCTATGCCTTGCCGCCAACAAGCGCCTTCTCTTAGTGTATCGGTGCTCGGTGGCACCCGAAAGAAATGCGACTGACTCCGTGTCACGGCAAACCAAAAAGAATGTTTATTTCCTCGTGCTCCCGCACAAGTCACGGGCACCACGGCACGCGCGTGCGTGCCTCGCTTATAGAAAGCGGGAAGTTCAAAAGAGACTCACACCACACTTAGTGCGCAGACAGTCGTACAAAATCACTTTTTCTAAATTGTTTTCGCTGAATAGAGCCAACTCCAAGTCATGGTCAAAAAGATCGAGCACCATTGTTGTCGGAAAGCTCGTCTGCTTCTTTAGCAGACGAGCATTTTAGAACTTCGCTGTGCTAGGGGCGACACGCCGTGGTGCGCCAGGTTTTGTATTACGGAAGCGCATTCATTCCAGTAAAAAACGAGACGAACTCTATGTAGGTATACAATATTTTAGGTTCTCTATATATTTAGAGTGCGATCTTTATTTACATGAGTTTCTGCGATTTGTACAAACACGCTTAAATTTGTCTTTTCTCGATGAGGCGGATGCAGGTTTCCGTTGCCAGGGGCCGCGGCCTGTACCGATCGTCTGCTAGGGAGGCTGTAGTGAGGGTGGGCGCAACTCAAAACCTGGAGAGCGTTTGCAATTTAATGGCGGCGCCAGAGGGAGAGGATTCGAGAAAGGATATGCGCCAGTGTTGCCTGCACGAGAGCAGGCGCCCGCTCTGTTGCAACTCTGTTGCTCCATGCGCCTTTCCTCCTCTCGCCTCCCATTGCAAGCAACAAGCGCCTTGGCGCAGCCTCTCTCGCTTCCTTCTCGCTCCGAGAATTGCAAACGTCGAGCGGAGAAAGCAAAGTTGCCAGACAAGCAGCAACGTCCAAGATGGCGGAATTTACCATTTTTCGCGTTAAAAAAATACTTAACCTATCGCAACAAAACTGGTGGCTATGGAAAAGTAACCATTTATACCTTGTGTAAATTATTCAAGCACCTTAATGGGCTTTTATGACCCGAGTTAGGAAAGAAAACGACCCTTTGCCCCATAGACTCCCTTTGCCCCATAGACTCCCAGCAAAATTTAGCAATTAAATGGCGTCCATGTCTCGTGATCGCCGATCTAGCAGTTGCACCCACCCTCACTTGAGCCTCCCTATCGTCTGCTATCGTCTGCAAATATGGTTCCCCCAAAGCCGTTTCAGGGCACACGATCGGTCCACACGCCCGATCCAAGGTATCGATCGTTTTTGTTTATCGATCGTCTTTTGTTCCGGTTCCCTAAAACTCTCTATTGTCTCGAAATTTTAAGTAACTATTAAGAAAACCATAAATGAAAATGATGCAGAAACCTACATTGAAATTTCCGTGTTCTCCTGTGGTGTGACGTTAGAAAATGGTACATATGTTCAGGTTGCATATGATATTCTTAAACAGAGTATGTCGAGCGTTTCTTTGGTGAATGCCGGTGAATGAGCTTCCAAGCATTGTTTTCCCACAATCAAACATCTTGTAATCAGTTGGGAGCTTGGTTTACTGCCCACTTTGTAGCATTTCTCTTCTCACGCTTCAGTTTTACGAGTAGGGGCTCTTGGTTTTAAAAAGACGAGGAGAACGAAATTTACAGATTCAATACCTTCGCGATTTTTCGTTTCGAAATTTTCGCAGAACACTTAGAGCACTGGTACAGCTGTGTCTATCGGTGAACTGAGCCAATTTTGAGGGAATTCAGTACCCA